CTGAGCAAAAAGAACAAGGCTGGGGCATCACAATATCAAGTTATACCACAAAGCCATAGCAACCAAAATAGCATAGCAGTGGCATAAAAACAGACACACAGACCAAGGAAATAGAATAGAGAACCCAGATATAAATCTACTCATTTATAGTCAATTCATTTTAACAAAGGTGCCAAAAAGACACAATACAGAAATGACCGTCTCTTCAATAAATGGTGCTAGGAAAACTGAGTATCCATATGCAGAAGAATGAACTCAGATCCCTATTTCTCATCATATACAAAAATCTAACCAAAATAGATTAAAGACTTAAATATAAGACCTAAAACCATGAAACTACTAGAAGAAAACACTGGAGAAACACTCCAGGACGTGAGTCTGGATAAGCAATTTCTTGTGTAAGACCTCAGGAACACAAGCAACCACAGCAAAAATGGACAAGAAGGATCACTTCAAGCTAAAAAGCTTCTGTGCAGCACAGGAAACAATTAACATGATGAGACAATCCACAGAATGGGAGAAAATATTTGCCAACTATCCATCTGACAAGGGATTAATAACCAGTATATATAAGAAACTCAAATAACTCAGTATCAAAAAAAGAAAAACCTTAAAAATGGGCAAAAAATCTGAATAGACATTTTTCAGAAGATGAAATTCAAATGGCAAACAGGTATATGAAAAAAATGATCAACATCATTGATCAGGGAAATGCAAATCAAAATCACAATGAGATATCACCTCACTCCAGGTAAAATGGCTTTTATCGAAAAGACAAAAAACAATGAATGCTGGTGAGGATGTGTAGAAAGGGGGACATTCTATACTCTTGGTAGGAATGTAAACTAGTATAGCCACTATGGAAAAAGTATAGAGGTCCTCAAAAAACTAAAAACAGAGCTACTATACGATACAGTAATCCCACTGCTGGGTATATATCCAAAAGAAAGGAAATAGAATATCAAAGTTATTTGCACCCCCATGTTTATTGCAGAGCTATTCACAATAGCAAAGACACAGAAATTGACCTAAGTGTCCATCATCCAATGAATGAAGAAAATGTGGTACATATACACAATGAAATATTATTTAGCTATTAAAATAACATGATATCCTGTTAAATTCAGCAACATGAATGGATCTGGACAATGTCATGTTAAGCGAAATAAGCCAGGCACAGATAAGTACTCCACGTTCACACTTACGTGAGAGCTTAAAAAACCGATCTCATAAAGAATAGAGTGAAGGTTACCAGAGGCTGGGAAGCATAGTGGAAAGGGAGAATGGTTAATGGGTGTAAGTATACAGTTAGATAAAAGGAATAAGATCTAGGTTTAGATAGCAAGCTGACTATAGTTAATAATTTACTGTATATTTCAAAAGAACTATATGAATGGAATCAGAATGTTGCTAACACAAAGAAATGATAAATGTTTAAGGTGATGGGTATCCCAATTACCCCGATTTGCTCATTATACATTGTATGCTTATATCAAAATATCACATGTATTCCACAAATATATACAACTATTATGTAACCATAAAAATTAAAAATAACAATAAGCCAGGTGTGGTGGCTTACGCCTGTAATCCCAACACTCTGGAAGGCCAAGATGAGTGGATCTCTTGAGCTCAGGAGTTTGAGACCATTTCTACAAAAAATACAAAAATTAGCCAGGTGTGGTAGTGCATGCTTGTAGTCCCAGCTACTTGGGGGGCTGCGGCAGAAGAATCGCCTTACAACCAGGAGGTTGAGGCTGCAGTGAGCCATGTTTGTGCCACGGCACTCCAGCCTGGGTGACAAAGTGAGACCCTGTCTCAAAAAAAAAAGAAGAGAAAAATAATTTAAAAAAAAAAAAAAAAAAAAGATGGATGATAATTACACCCAGAAAATCCTCCAGAAAGGATTTATTTTTACTTCTGGCAGGCAAGTAGACCACACACTGGCAATCCCTGATCTCTGTCACTCAACTGCTATTGCAATGATTTAAATCAGGACTCTAGTCCCTATGGGAGCTAGATTAATTCTGGATTGCCCCTTGTTCTCAAAGAACAGCCTTTCAGAGTCCCAAGCAAATGCCAAGGAGTGCTAATAAGGGTCCTTCCAACATGGCAGGTCCTGACTTCAATTTCAGTCCCCAGCCTTGTGAATCTGGCAAGAGCTCTGCTGAGAAACTCAGATGAACCTCCATTCAGACAAGCAGTCTTTCACTGCCAGAAAGAGGGCTTCTTAATCTCTCATCAGTACCAGGTAACTTAAGATTTGGCTACCCATACTGTTTCCACATTTCCCCTTCCTTGACTAGAAGAGCAACGGGCTAGATGTCTGAAGATCTGAGCTCTGGTGTGTTAGTCAGCAACAAGTCCTATGACCTTTAGGCTAGATCCCTCAAAGTTCCCTTACCCTTAAATGTAAAAGGCATCTGGATAAAATATCTGTTAGTTTATTCTTGCTCTAAAATAATTACTAACACGCCTGCCAACTCTTACATTAGACAATTCTCCTGTGGATCCATCAAAGCCAGCCCAGTGACTCATTAAAACTCTTCATTTTCATGAGAACACTATAACAAACGAACTGAAACTACAGTAAAAATTTGGATTTACAAAGCAAGCTGTTAAACTTTAGAACTGTGGCCATTCACACTACAAGTCCTATTATATGTTGCCTTGGCTACTAAACCATGCAAAGCTGACAAGAACCCACCTATGGCTGAAAATAAAGAGAAAAGCCCGACCTAAATGGAGAAAGGAGTCACTATAGGGTACCACTATGCAAAATGGCAAGCAATACAGTTGACGCTTGAACAACATAAATTTGAACTACATGGGCCCACTTTTATGGGGCTTTTCTTCTGCCTCTACCACTCCTGATACAGCATGAACAACCTCTCCTCCTCCTCCTCCTCCTCCTCCTCCTCAGCTACTCAACATAAAGACAATGAGGATGAAGACCTTTATGATGTTCTACTTCCACTTAATAAATATTAGGTTGGAGCAAAAGTAATTGTGGGTTTTGCTATTCCTTTTATATATTTATTTAATTACTATTATTTTTTGGAGTCTCACTCTGTCTCCCATGCTGGAGTGATAG